TATGCAGTATGAGAGAGAGAGAGAGAGAGAGATTTAAAGATAAACACATGGGTTAGAAATCCTATGAATAAATAAACGTTTATATATTTTTTCGCTCAAATATTATACAAAACAGTAATTTCAAGTTCATTGAGACTCAATAACTGCATGTATTTGTTTAGCATTGGATTAAATAATTGAGAAATTCTTGGATTCTGATGGAATATTTTTAAAAATGTATTTTTAATCATAATTTCCATTGAATTTTACTTAAATCCCGACACTATTCTCATTGAGAAAATATGTTTTTGTTTAAAAATGATTGTGAAAACAATAATATTATCGCTATTAATATTTCATATTCAAAATAAATATAGTATTTTATTTAAATGGATTTTATAAATAATTTTTCTTTGTTTTTCTCAAATATTAATAGCATTTCTTTTAGCTATAGTTTGCTATAGTCTTACCGTTTGATTAATTGTTTAAATTGTCAAAAACGCCGGATATTTATCTTTTCGACATACGTTTTATAATGATTTTTGTTTAACATTTTTGAAAATTAGTTTACATTAAGTCAATCAGATATGAGGCCATGATTTACATCTAGGTTTGCAAAATGCGAGAGATTTTGCAGACAAAAATCATTAAACAATTTACACAAACCTTGCAATTAACTCTTCATGAAATTATCAATAATATTATTAATAATTTAAGTGTTATATCAATGAATTTATTCAACTTAACGACAAAAATAGCAAATATTTTTATAAGACTTTTAGAGACGATTGTCCTCTCGATTGAGCGATCGGTTGAACGGATTGTAAAAATAAAAGTTATTTTCGCTTTTATTACAGCACTTAAAACAATATTAATTTTTGCGCTTGTATTTGCCATACAATCCAATCCAGAGATAAACACATATAATTTTAATAACAATAAACATCGTAAACATAATACAATCAACAAAAAACATTACACTTACAAAAGCAAAACTTAATTTACCATAAATTAATAAAAAAAACATGATTACATTACAGCTAGAGCTGGAACTGTGGGACACCGCGGGTCAGGAGGACTTTGACCGACTGAGGCCACTGTCCTATCCGGACACTGACGTACTGTTGCTATGTTTCAGTATAGTGTCGCCCGACTCGTTGTCCAACGTGTTTGAGAAATGGGTGCCGGAAGTGAAAAAGTTTTGCGAAGACGTGCCCATCGTATTGGTCGGCACCAAACGCGACCTCCGCTCCGACCCTCAAGTGGTGGACAGTTTGCAACGACAACAGCAAAAGCCCATCAGTTTTATCGACG